ACGAGTATCGGTCCCAGGACGAATAGCTAGACATGCTCTTCGCCGATATCGTTCTCTCTTTTATCTGCGCGAGCCACAACGTTTCGTTTCGGAGATATTTCGCCGACGAAAGGAGACCGCGAGTACATACAGGTACAACGAAACCAAAGTGAAATTAATAATAAAATTAAGTGGATAAAATATTTCGCTACCGCGATATATATCAAATAATGATTTAATAATATCATTTGAACGCGTGGCTCTGCTTCGATGTATCACGTGGTTCTTTTTGTTTCTATATTTTTGAAATAAAAGAACACGTGTAAAACTGGAAAAGCGATATGGCATACTTTTATTTTATACATTTTATTTTAACGAGACCAACCTGGGGATTGTGTTAACTGTAAATGCAGCGCAAACGTCGGCATTGTCTATTATGCTTCTTCAGTAGGCCGTGACGTACGAAGATCGAAATACGATCTTGGAATCGAGCCATGATCGATTTACCGGGTGCGGGCGCGATAGCCGTCTTCCGGTTTATTAGTTTCCTATCTGGTAGCAACAAGGACGACGCTATGGCATCCTTCCTGGGATGCAGGGGCCAGCTTTCGGGACGAGATGGGCTATTGATATGCGGTGCGCGTGGCCGCCATCGAAACGCTTTTTCCAGACGCAGGAAACGGGAGGACGCGATTCAACGGGTGCGATTATGGTCGATTGATTCGCAACGCCGCACCGGCTATCCGGCGTTTCGGCTCGATTCGACGACGAATGCGAGCAGAATGTGCCGATGGAGCCGCGCAATAATAGCTCCTCTCGGACCGATGACTTTTTTACTCAAACTTGGATTTCTTATGGCGTAAAAGCTGCTTGTTCGACCGACGAAAGATCGCTCGAGAGAGAGAGAGAGAGAACGTAAAAATTTGCTACCCCTTAACCTCGGTGTTTTATTTGTGTTTCATTAAATTTATTCCATGTATTTTACTCGATTGTTTTTCGATCGGTACACATTGCGACAATGCGGGTTACGCGAGGTATTTTGCAACCGATGTACCGCACAATCGGGAAGGTAATGATTCTGGATAAAGAAAATATACGAAAGTGGAGTTTAATACGACCATATTATTTCAATGTGATTCATATGTAAATATTCATCAATCCTCGAGATTAAAGGATTTGCTAAATTAATTGTACAGATTTATTCAGAAATATATTTGAAATATAAATGTCGTGTGCGTAGATTTTTTAGAATCTGCGCTTTATTGTTATCTCATACCTTTGTGCCGCTTCTACCCCGATTCATTCTGCTTATCGCGTATGTAAATTCACATTTCATTTACCGTGTTTGCAACTTGCCGTTTGATGCTTAGAAATCATAAATGTCCGGAGTCCGTTCCGCCGGATCTAAATGCAACTGGACGAGTCTGCAGCAGCTGTTACAATACCGTTAAACAAACCTACGTGAAAGCTCAATCAAAGCTTACCGATCTCCTCGTCACATCATTCCGCGACACTATGCTCGCCGACTCGCAAGCGGCACAATGCCATTCAATTCCGTCCGTGAATTCTGTTTTGTCAAAGGCCGCCTCGCGATTAACAGCTACGCCGGCGAATGAAAATTAGCGGCCTTTGCGCAAATTAACGACGACAGGCAAGACTTGATTAATCCCGGCGCCACTTCCTCGCGCGATGAATGCACGGCGGATTAAGAGCCGCAAGCCCGGGGAGGACACAATTTCGACGCGGCAGTTATGCCGTGGGATTTGAAGCGGTCGAAGGCCGAAGAGGTGGAAAGGGGGTAGAAAGGGATAAAAGGGGTGGGAGGGAGGGAGGGGGTGGGGCGGTGGATATATCCGTAGAGTTATGGCTGGTATGAAACCCATAGCAAATGATGCAGGAATACGTGACTGGCAAGCGAAGCGTTGCGCCGCGTCGGGTCCGGCGCGGCGTCCCGATGCCTGCCAGCCTGCCTGGCCGGCTCGATGTAGCTGCAATCAGCAACGTGCGCCGTCCAGGGCACCGAAATAAATTCAATAGAAATACGTTGCGCGTCGGCATACGGCAGCTAGGTCGCAGAGAGTACGTGCGCGCATGAAAAGTTGGACGCGAGAGCTTGATCTTCGGCCGAGGACCACGCTCCTGATCCCCTCTCCCGGTTGACCCTTTCAGCGCGAAATTAATTCGCCGTGGATCTTCCCGCGGAAATCGGTTGCGTTACTCGTCCGATCAAGAGCCTGCGTCCACGATGCTAGAGCTTGGTCCATGTTTTATGGAACAGCTGCAAGTTGATTGGCCACACATTTCTCGAAACTAGAACCTGGACCAAGTCCTAGCATCGCGTACGCAGGTCTTCACAAAGCC